CACTACATGTTTGTTATGTTACTTTTACTTTTAAATTATAGATTGGGGAAAAGAAGCCCAGCTCAAAATGTCTCTCTACTATTTCTTTTTGTCTTGCACATAATTTCTTTCTTCTAATCTTGTCGATAGGAATGAGGAAATCTTGTAAATTGAAAAAGAAAGAATAGACTGAGAGGTAATTATTTGTTTACTGGAGGAATTTTTTATTTTCCAAAAAGATTCATTACAGGTTTCCACTAAGAATTAATAAGCTCCCCAGTGCATTTAAAGTATAGTTTAATGATGACCTAATTTCGTTCCTCAGGGAAATGATCGGAAAGGACCCTAAATTGTCATTTCAAGCACCCACTGTGTTGATGGCTACTAGCTCCTGGGAGCAATAGGCTTGAGCGAGCTCTGAGTTGGAATCCTGGCTGGACTGAAGGGTGCAGTGATGTGTTCGTGCTGTCTGTATGGGGGACCCGGGGCCCATTCGAAGTCCTTGTACTGGGATCAGTGGTTCTCAATCCAGAACAGCCCATGCGGGGCTTTGAAAACACATGGGGCCATTTTTGTGTCACCTTGACTGGGGACGATTCAGCATTTAGTAGCAGCTGTGATATTCTACCTCCTGCAGCACAGGGCTCACCATGAAGGCATTTCCCACTCGAAAGGCCCTTGGCACCCCGCTAGTGGTCCGGGATCTCTTGCAGGGCCAGCCTGAGCCCATGACCCTGCCGGGGTCCATCGTAGGTCTGTTAAGTGCTCTCCTGAGATCATTTGTTCTCACACCCCGAAGCGAATAGCTGTGAGACAGCAATGTTCACCGGTAGGTGGCCCAGCCTGTGTTGTCCAGAAGGGGACAGAGATCTCCGTGGGCAATAGGATAACTTGCCTTGTCCCCTGTCCCTCTCCTGGCTCTCACTGCTGCAGCGTTGTGGTTCATCTTCTGTGGCGACCTGACGTTCCGGCTCCCTTGTCCTGTCATCTCAGTCCTTACAGAATATTGAAACAGGGCGCGAGTGGCAGCCGGAAACGCCTGCCTCTGCTGTAGGCGGGAGGTGCGCGTCCTCTCCCGAGCTGATCCTTCTAGGCTACGGGAGATAAAGAACGGTAGGAAGCAACTTGCTGCTTAGCTTTTTCACAGACTGCTGGAATCGTTCTTGTTAAATGTCTTTAGTTGCATAATTTCTATAGAAAAATTTAAAAATTAGTTAAAAATTTACTGAAATGAAAGTGATTTTTAATGGTCTCTACTTAGAACCCCAAACGGACATGTCTTAACTTTTTCCCATGAAAGTTACATGACACTCTGTGTGTGTTCACGTTTTTTATACTTACCCAGTAGGAATAATTCAGGGGGAGAAAAGCTTGGTGTCATCATACTACTCAGGACCCTATTAATAGACTCCATCTCTCAGTTATGCGTTTGAGTATGGGTTTAAGTCGTACCTTTCAGAGCCCTTGGAATTTGGGTTCAGTAGTTTCTTGAGCAGTCTTTGGAAAAACATGGCCTGTTCTCCTCTTTGGGGTTTAAATAATTAATTAAAACTCTTCGGTTAGTATCACCCTGGAAGATATTTTCAAAATATGTATTACCAGCCATTAAAGTTTTATCACCGTAATCTCACTAGAGCTCATTTGCTAACTGTGAAGCTCATTAGCCAAACTTCCCTCACTAGGCAGGATGCGCCACCATTAGCATACTGTCTTCTAGAAAGGAACAGAATTAGCACTGCGGAGCGAGCACACCTCTGCCTCCAGCAGCTCTGGTTCCTGGGGCGGCCACCTGAGAGGGACTGTTTTGAAGCCAGCTACTTCCACAGAAGCCAGTTCAGCTAAAGTTTTGGGGTGGCTATCATTGAAAGGGGAAACAAAGAAAAACAAGGCTTGTGTCTCTGAACACAGTCAAAAGACAGTAGGAAAGTCATGCGTGTGTGTGTGTGTGTGTGTGTGTGTGTGTGTGTGTGTGTGTGTGGTTTTTGACTCATTGCTAAAATGACCAGTTTAAAGATAAAACAAATTGAAGCAGTTGAAAATTAAACTTCATGTATTCATAATCCCCTCCTTTGAGTCTCGCCTGTGACTCAGCCTTTCAGAACTTCCTTGGCCCGGGGCTGCCCAGCCACCAGGCCCGCTCCCACGCCTTCCTAAGTCCTCAGTCAGAGCCACTCCGATGAGTGAATTTAGGCCATTGAGGAGGAGGCAAGAAGGGAGATCTTTATTCTCTACCAATTTGGGCCATTTCTGCAGAGAAACAATTGTCTGGCATCTCAGTCACAACCCCACAGTCAGTGTCACGTGAGAAGCAAAACATTTTCTCTGGCCTTGCAGTGTTGCCAGAATTGGGGTAATTACTTTATCCATCATCCACCTAAATTATAGCAAGGAAAGAAACATGTTAATTTTTCCTTCTAGCAAAACCCTGTGAGGGGGTGCTTAGGACCTGGGTTACTCTGAACTGTAGCTAATGGAGGGGTGAGCCACGTCAGATTCCGTTGCAAACACAGTCGGGTAGTTACAGACATTTGCAGATTACAGGACAGCGTGAAACAGGAGTGGCTGTGAGTTCATTGCTGAAGCTTGCTGATGCCACGTGTGGTGTGCAGTACGAGTCTCAAAGTAGAGACTTTTCAAAATGTTTTCCATAATAAAAGCTTAGAATACTTTGTTAAACCAAATGAAAATTAGAAACAGATACTGGGATTTCTTCTTAAAAACACCTTTGCAGAGAGATCTCACTTGTCAGGCCTCCCTTGGATGAAATAGAACCTGCCCCCCTGCCCTGTGTGATGTTTACTTCTTAGCTGAACATGAGACATACGTGTGAGTCTCACACACACATGCTTACTCATTTGGCATGTTCCTCCCCTACTAGGAAACAACCGCCAAGAAAACAGGAGCTGTGTCAATTCTGTTTATCACTGTCACGTGGGGGCCAAGAACAAAATTTCTGTTCAACGAGCACACACTGCGTGAGTGAATGAAACGAGTACATGACTACTAACTGCTAGACTTTCTTTTTGTTCTTTTGTTTTAGTTGCGGAATTAAGAAAAATCTTTGAACCAAAGAGGAAAGAATTTTTAGAAATGAAAAGGTAAGATCTTTATAGTACGGAATTAAGAGGTGAAGGGCTTGGCAAAGCAGCATTTAGTTTTCCTTTAGAACTCATTGCCGTTGGTCACCGTGCCTTTTTTGGTGTTTGCACAGAAAAGAAAGAATCGCCAGGCGCCTCGAAGGAATTGAAAATGACGCCCAGCCCGTCCTCTTGCAGAGCTGCACAGGGTTGGTGACTCATCGGCTGCTGGAGGAAGACACGCCTCGGTACATGCGAGCCACCGACCCGGCCAGCCCCCACATTGGTGAGCACGTGTGTCAGGCCGGGTGGCCCGACCTCAGGCAGGACGCTGGACTTGTTACACGTTGCCTTTTTCTAACCTGGTGGTATCAGAAAACGAAATAGTCCACAAAAGTGATTTGTGTGGATACAAATTTTTTATTACATGTATTTGTTAAAAAGAGCAGTAACACGTATGTCAGCTCTGCCCTGGTCACAGATGTGGTCCTGCAGTGTCACAGCAGTAAGACGTGATTCCTCTTGGCACGTTGTTGGCTAACTGACGACCGATCATTTCCCCCTTAGACTGGGGCCCTTCGAAGGCAGGAACTGTGTCTGCCTTTCTGTACCCTCCGCCCGGCACAGGCTCTGCTGTCGGAGACCCTTAGCGACTGTTTGGTAAAGGAATGAATGAGACAGCTACCTCCGAGTTCTCGCGTAGGTTTAGACTTCATGCCCAGGTGCCCGGCACAGGCAGCCCCTGCTCTCAGCAGGGAGAGTTAAAGGCAAAGCTGGAGCTTGAATGATTAGGGCATTTACTCTAAGTGTTTAGGCAACAAAACATTCCGTTGAAATCATTTAATGTATGTAATTTTAAATATGTTGCATATTTATTTCATAGGAAACAGTACATCGAACCAGCATGACTTAGCTTTTCCTTGATCGCTCAGAGTCATCGTTATGGGCATGAAATATTCACCTTGACCTTGGGAGAGGATGTTGGATGCAGGGCTGCACTTCCCACCCCACCCCCTCTGAGGCTCTGTGCTGCTGCTTTTTATAGTTAGTGTTTTCTAGTGTTTTCCTCGGTGAGGGCTGTTGATCTCACATCATGATGTTATCAGTTTGCTTGTCACTGCGGTTTCTAATTTTCTGTGGCCAGAAAACTAGAGACCTCAGATATTTTTAAAATGTCATGCATGAGAAATCAAGAATAGACAGATCAGAGTGCCAAAATTGATAGCCAGAAATAAACCCTAGTGTATATAAAATGTTAATCAATGTGTAGTATGTGATAATTTAAGCATCACATATTAGTGAGAAAAGGAAGAATTATGTAATAAAATAGTACTGGAAAAATGGGTTAGCTGTAGGGTGGGAGAGGGGTATGTTCTTCTTCTCACTTCATACCAAATCCAAAAACTAGTTTCAGTTACGCGTGTGATTAATTTGAAGGAAACAATTGAAAACATAGGTGAATATTGAATTCAAGTGGAGTGGAAAAGGGTTTTCAAAGCATAGAAACAGACAGCTAAAGAAATCACCAAATGAACAGGTCTGTTGACTACGTAACAATTTTTATCTGTACTTCAAAGAGAGTCTTACAAACACGTAGATGTCACAGCAAAATTAAACCACGAGCAAGTTTGAAAATATTCACGAAGATGACAAAGGGCTAATATTCTTTAAAAGCTTACACAAACCAATAAAAATGACACTATGAATCAACAGAAGGTAAAGCTCCGGCAGACATTCCAGAAAAGAGAAAGAGAATACAAATAGCAAAGAAACAATGAAAAAATGCATACATTCTCTTTCTCTAGTCATCAAAGGCAATTCTTTTTTACACTCAGTGTTTGTGAGGAAGCATATATTGTGGATGTAAGTGTAAATTGATACAGACTTTATAGAAATTAATTTGTTGCAGTCTGGCAAGGGTCTTAAGATGCTGTGCCCTTTGATAAAGCAATTCTGCTTTTATGACTCCGTCTAGTATGATACTAATCAGAAAATCAGACTGATCAGAAGTTAGAAACAACCTAAATACCCAGCCATATAGGAAGGGTTAAATTAATTATGGAATGTCTATTAGATAGAATATTATGAAGCCTTAAAAAATGATGTCTTTGCAATAAGATTTCTAAATAGAGGAAAATATTTTCTATAGAACTTTAGTAACACTAAATTTTTTATATAGGAAAAAAGAGAAGAAATCAACTATCTAAAAGACTAGAAGGAATATATAAAATGGCAAGTTATCAGGGCATAGTGTGATCACTGGCGATTTGGGCTTTCACCTTCACGTTTGCCTGTTAGACATTTTCTGCATCAGGCATGTGCAATTGGAAAAAGGCACTTCTGCGAAAAAACAAAACCGGGTGACTGTCAACATGGGCCATGTTGTCATGGTTACTATCAGAGCCTGCGAAACCACAGTCCATCAGCTGTCACCTTACAGCAGTTCAGTTCTCTGCCGACTTTTCTAGAGGACTGTGAGCTCATCCGGTGGCGTCACATGTGACATATTAAACTCACAAAACAAACAAGTAAATAAATAAGGGAAACAGCGCTGAGCAAGGTCTGGGGCTCTGGGAGCGGAGGGCTGGGTAGGGTTTTAGCTGTGGCTCACGGAGCTGGGGCCCGCTCGCGGCCTTCGTGTGTTTCACTCCGGCTCTCAGCCTCCTTCGGTAGCCCAGGTAACCCATCTCAGGTAAACACACCTGTGTGGGGGATTGGTCCTGCCCAGCATGGGCGTCTTGTGCGTAAATGCGCGACTTTACCTGGAATCCGCACCTGTTGTTCTGTGATCTTGCAGGCCGCTCAAATGAGGAGGAGGAAACTTCCGATTCTGCCTTAGAAAAGCGAGCTCGACCCAAGCTCCGCGGGGACAGCTCGGGCGTCGGCGCCGACCCGCCCTGCGGCCCCGCGGCCATGGACACCCACGGCGCGGGCGCCAAAGCCGAACGCATCGCCAGGTACAAGGCGGAGAGGCGGCGGCAGCTGGCGGAGAAATACGGGCTGACGCTGGAGCCCGAAGCGGACCCGGAGCACCTGTCGCGCTACACCAGGTGCAGGAGGGACCCCGGCGCGGCCGAGAAGCGCGCGGGGAAAAGCGACAAACCGGCAGAGCCCGGCAAAGACTCGAGCGCGCCGTACCCGGGGACGGAGACCGTGGGGCTGCGCACCTGTGCAGGTGAGTCCGAGGACTGCGCCCGGCACGCGCGCGACGGCGTTTCCGAGCAAGAGGTGCTGCTGAACGTGGAAAACCAAAGACGGGGCCAGGAGCCCAGCGCCACCCGGCCGGCCCAGGACCGGCCCCCGGCAGCCGAGAGTCCCTCGACCTTCTCGTTCTCCGGGCGAGACTCCTCCTTCACTGAAGTGCCAAGGCCCCCGGAGCAGGTGCACAGCTCCTCGCTGCAGCCGCCGGCGCCCCGGAGCCCCTCTGCTGGCGACCCGCCCGGCCCCGCCGAGGCCCGGCCCAGGTGAGCACACAGCCGGCTAACCACGCCCGTCGTGGGGCCCAGGTGCCCGCGCTGCGCCTTGCCACACCCTGCGAGTGTCGGGGCTTGCTAGAGATGCGTGATGGTGACCGTCTAACTTCCCCACCATCAGAACAGCTTCCACCAAAGCAGGAAGCCATGTGTTCTTTGTGTCAGTGTGCTTCTGATGTTCCTTTCTAAAGTACAGTAACACACTGAACAAGTGTCTCGGGGACACTGTCATGGAGGCCTCATTTCTGCACCCTTCCTTATACCGGATTGTCTACCTGCCTTTCATGATTTATCTTTTTGTTGGTTTTCTGTAATCATACCCAAGACTCGTGGGGTTCAGTGATTGCCTTTTGCTGTTGGTGAAACTCACAAGCAGAAAGAACACCACTAACCAGTGCCAGGGCCGCTGCGTGGGGCGCAGAAGTGTGACGAGTACACTGAGCTCGACTGTGATGTATAGTTCCCAGATAGAGCAGGTGCTGACACAGGTGTGTAAAAGAACACCGCATTTAAAAGAGCAACCATTAAGAGAAACCACTGTGAAAGGACCTACTACAGGTAGGAAAGGCTCCCATTTGGGAAAATTAGGGAAGACAGGCATTCAGAAAGTCAAATGCAAGATGAGAATGTATTTATTTCCAAATTTAAATAGAAAAAGTGTGATGAACGTATTTTAAAGTGAAATGTACTTAAAACATCCTGCTTAAAGCTTTGGGGCAATTGTCTAGGTAGACTCCTAATTGTGGTTTTCAGTTCAAACAAGCAATAGCTTCCCAGGTGAATCAAGAATGAGAATCTAAGGTCAAACAGATTTGTTCTGAAAGAAAAAATACATATATTGGAAAAATGCCCGTATTTGTTTCCCCCTGGGATAGAGTGGTGAACACCTGGTGGTCTCTCTGGGGCAGTGATACAGCTGAAGCAGGCTCTGTTAGTTGTTGAAGTTTATTAAGGCAAAGGCCTGTGACCACATACTTCATCATCCAGACTGAAATATTTAGAAATATCGGCTTCTAAGAGAATTAAATACTGTAGATGCCAAGAATGTATTTTGAGGGCCTTTGTTCAGCCTTTGGACTTAACTACTTGAAACTTAGGGGCTGTGACCTATTGTCTTATATTTTGAAATGAGGAACTTTTGTTTGGGAAGTTTGCATTTCACAGTAGAAACAGTGTTTTTGGTTTAGTTACTCCGTCAAAGCCTTCCTGTCTTTTGTGCAAGGGACAAAGAAATCTAACAGATTCCAATTTAGAAAGAATAGTAGAGATTTATAATTACGGTGGTTAAAAAAATGAAGAATCTTAATTTGAATTGCCATAAACGACAACTGCTTAGATTGTTATCACAGTGCCTAGGTTGGTCACCTGGATCACACATCATAGTTTCTCAGTAAGATTTTTGAATCATTTGTAACAGTAATTAAAAACTTTGTTTTATTCCAAGTGAAAGGACAGGATACTTAATAGTTTTACGTGAGTTAAAATCTTAATATTAAAAAATGTGTTTAACTTAAAGTCTTAATACCTAGGTAAAAGCATTGTTGACTTATTTAGGCCTGTTAACAGACAAAGCCATTTCTTTATAGGTTATTTTGAAGACGCATATTACCTAGAAGTTTCCAGAAGCCTAGCCTTAGCTTCACAATGCTTCACTTTCACGAAAAAAAGCCTCAAAAGAATTAGGAGATTGTAAAGGAATTCCAGAAGAGGCACAGGCTTTATTTTTTGAAGCCATTCAAGGTGTGAAATTCTATGATTCATGGGCAAAGAAACATGAATCATTTCATACATATTAGGGAAATACCTGAGCTCTGTTTACGTAAAGAGGGATGGAAAATAATGTGTGAAAAATTTGACATTTAAAAATGTTAACATTTACTTTGTACTGACAACAGTCATTCAGCTTGTAAAACGGACTAACATTCTGCTTAGATGTCCTTTATCTAGAGCCAGGAAATTCAAATTTCAAAAAGTGATTGTCTGATTTCCATTAGGGAGGAAGTAAGACAAGCAAAAAATACTTTGCAACCTAAGACAATAACAAAAGAAACCTCCTGGGTGAACTGAATGACCATAAGTGAAAATAATGATGTCATTTGATATGAAAATATGTAACAGAAAAGTTTAAGAAGTTGAAGAAGTAAGGAAAAAAGTATCCACAAATGATTTTAATGCTGTGCTTTTTCATAGATTTGTTCTGTCATGGAAATGGAATATTTTTCTCACGGCTTTACTGTCTTATCACCTAGCTCTGCCAAATTTATTCTGGCTGTTAAATCTCTCAATTAACTCATTCCAGTTTCATCATTTTAGTTTGTGCTTGCTAGCAAGGGGCTGTTTTATTATTTAAATATGAATACACTACTCATGAGTATACCATCAAAAGTGTCCTAGTGTCCTAAAAATTCAAATGTGAGTCAGATATATAATGCAGAAGTGTTGGATGTGCTCATGTATACTAACACCTATACATACTTGTGCATATATACAGAATAATCATTAATTCTTATATTTCACTGTGCTATACTGTGTGTCAGAGTTATAAGCTAAATAACAGTCTTTAGGACAATATTTACCTAAGTAACAAATTTGTTTTGGAATTAATTAGTATTCATTCAGTTTGTACGATTAAGAAGATATTTTTTTTTTCTTTTTGAGACAGAGTCTCACTCTGTTGCCCTGGCTAGAGTGAGTGCCATGGCGTTAGCCTAGCTCACAGCAACCTCAAACTCCTGGGCTCAAGCGATCCTCCTGCCTCAGCCTCCTGAGTAGCTGGGACTACAGGCATGCGCCACCGTGCCTGGCTAATTTTTTCTATTTTTAGTTGTCTGGCTAATCTCTTTCTATTTTTAGTAGAGACGGGGTCTCGCTCTTGCTCAGGCTGCTCTCGAACTCCTGAGCTCAAATAATCCGCCCGCCTCGGCCTCCCAGAGAGCTAGGATTACAGGCGTGAGCCACCGCGCCTGGCCAAGAAATGGATTGATTGATCGATATTACAGGGTCTTTAGCTCAGAAATCCTGTTAGTTGACCAGGAATTCAGATGACCACATTGTTCTAAAGAAAACCACGAATACACATAGTCAACCAAAAAGACAAAAGAGAGAATAATAAAACACCCCAGCCCCCACTTCTCCAACCCTTCTGAACCTTGTAAACTTGGGGTTTCATAGGTTGTTTTTTCTGGAAAGGTAGTGTTACTGATATGAGCCATTCTGTTTTAATTCAGCCACTCTGAATTTTAGAAGAAAATTCAAAGGGATTTGGGTCCTATGGATTATTCAAAATTTTTAAAATCTGAGCTCCTCCTACTACTAGAAATCCTGAATCCAAAGCTCCTGTTGAATTTGCTATTTTGTGCATCTCCTATTTAAAAAAAAAAGGAAATGCCCGTCTGTGCCCTTCTATGAGAGGAGAAGCTACCTGGAGTCCCACGGCTGGGAATGCTGGGCCGCAGCTGCCGCTCTCTGTCCTCCGAGAACTGTGACTGGCAAAGTGGAGAATGAAATGGAACTTACACCTGGTGTTCTAGGGTGATCCACTCTGGAAACCTCGTTTGTCATTTTCTTTTTTCATTACTCTACTGAGATCTCACACCTCTCCTCCTCCACTTAGCAAGTTGTATCGTTAGTGGCCAGAATGCGACGATGGAGGTTTCCTGCAGAGCTGAGGCTGACACCGGACCCAGGAGAAGTTGCCGCTGGTGGGCGATGGTTTGGGCAGGGCTCCCCGTGGACACCAGACAGCTGTGGATCGGCTCGGGAGGACAGACCAGGGCACCCTCTGGAATGAAGCTTTTCTGCAACACCTTGATGTGGTGCAGACGGAACCACTAGGAAGGGAAGGGGCTCCTGCTAGGCACTCGGAGTTACTTCTGATTTGCATTCGCTCGTCTCCTGATGGGAGGTTTGAGTCTAAAAACTGCCTCCAGTGCCTCAAGCTCTCGTGGCTCTAGCTGATGGTCTGTGTCCATGCACGGACAGAGCTGTCTCCAGGAGAGCAGAGTGCCGGGCCTCCTGCCATCCTGCCTCAGTTCCTGTCCCTGCTGGCAGGCAGGTCCTCCGACGCATGCCGCAGGGGGCATGGCACGGCGTCATGGAAAACGCTCATCTCAGACGCCAGTCTCAAAAGAAGAGACCGCTACATACTCCTCCTCGCAGCTTATTCTAGTATTGAAATGGAATTATTTTCATCATTCGGTCCCTGAACCCCCAGATATCTGTGCTCCCCACCCTGTGCTAGCAGCTTTGAGCTGTTACTAGAGGGTTAACTGATTCTCATTTTTTCATTTTATTCTGCTCACACTGACAGGTGGCAATTCCTGTTCATTGAATTAAATAAAATATACCACCCAAAATACTAGCTACAATGCATACTAGCAAAAAATTCAAATGTGTGCAACATTTTAAATGCAAATTTTGTCTGCGAGCGTGTGCCCGTGCGCATTTGACACTGTGAGTATATGCAGAGCTATCCTTAGCAGTTTTCCCATACAGGCAACTTTTAGTAAATTAACTGTTAACTTTAATGAGATGGAGAAGTTAATAGCCGTTCTTAATGTTTTATAATTAGAAGCTGTTATATAACTAGTGCTGGACACCCGCATGGTGAAACTGATTTTACTGTGCTGGACTTAACTTCACTTTGGTAGCAGGAAGCACTTTTTAGTTTATTGACTCTTAGGCGTTGTAGGGAAATAAAGCATGTCATTATATATTATCATGTGCTTAGGGATAAATAAAGCATGTCATTATATATTACCATGTGCTTAGGGATATAGTCCCAGAGCAACTCCTGGACTTTATGAGAACTTAGGGTGACTTACTACTTCCTGGTAATACAAATCTCTGCCAGCCAGTTGCCATAGCAAAGCATGGTCTCTTACAGGTGAAGTCATCCCCTCCTTGTGGTCTCTGATAACCCTGCAGTCCCCTCCCAGTGGAGGGAACTTCTGCGCTATGGGAGATGGTTCAGCCCAAGACCCCATAAAATA